GTGACCTCATTATTTCCTTTTTATTTCTACCTGATGACCCCAGCAGTAACATATATCTGACCCTAGCAGTAACATATCTGTCCTAGGATGACAACACTTACTGTACTGTATGTATGGAGGAGCAGCATTATCACGCTAGGTGGGGACTATAGAACACATCCCCATGACCTAGGGGAGGGAGTTCACAGAACTGACCAAGGCTGATAAGACTGCTTAAACAGATATATACATTTTTTGTTTGCACTTGCCTAATAGATATGACAAAATGCCTTTAATGATCTATTTAACAGACCAAAAGGGCAAAGATGAAAGGAGCTTATTGTTATGGTATACATACACGTGAAAGTTTTGTTTTGGGGAGAACCAGCCTTTTGCTGATACCAGTATTTATATAAATAAGGATTTTCTCCAAGCTACGTTAACATTTCTAGCCAGACCTTAGGGCATACATGGACATGCTACTAACATGGTGTTAATTGTTAAGTAGGGAATGGGATGTCATCCCTTTAAGTGCTAGTAACGGCACGTTTGTCTGTTTTGTTATGGGGATGTGGCCGAAGAAAATAAATCTGGGTCACAAAGCCTTTCTGTTCGTGAGGACACAGCAGAGGTCAGAGCTGACAATGATGGAAGGCTAGAGTGAGCTGATTTTGGCCAGGACTCAATGACCAGCAGAGTCCTTTCAATACATTATTTTAAGATATACTAAGAGCATGGTCTGTGAGTCATTGTGAGCTAATGGGATGAGAAGAGAGGTGGGTGGTGGGAAATATTTCAGTGTCACAGCCTAGCTTCCAGTAAAACACTCATTAATTCTAGGCTCTAATCTGTAAACTTGAAGCGGTAAATAATATTTATTCAGTGATTGTGGGTATTATTGGGTGAGATGGATCAAGCTGCGGATGGTTATTTAGAATGGAGATGGAAGTATAATTTGGAGCAATTGTGTTGTCTGTAGTAGAGCTATGCTAAGGGGGTTATCATTTAATGCTCTCTACATGAAGGAACAAATTAGTACATAATTGACGAGCCGGTTTGTGATTTCAAGACCCAATTGTATTCCAAACATTTATTTTTAGTTAATAGTGGGGAAGTGGCAGAATTGTTTTAAGTATTTACAGAGAAATTGAGACTTCTTTACCCCCACAATATATTTCTGTGAGCCTAAATAGTCAATCGCCAAGCTGCAGTCCCATCACATGTGGGCAGGGTAGAGTCCTTAGCCCTGTAGGAGCGCCAAACAGAGTGAATTGGAGCTTGTACCCAGTGCTTCTTCTCTTCACTCCCATGGGTGATCAGAAAGGTAGGAGATCGGGAAGGTAAGGGAAACCATGTTGGGTAATTTTTATTTTTAATGCAATTGCATATCAAATCTTAAGCATTTTTTGTAAAATATGTTCTCATAAATGTGTTCACAGAATAAAAGGCTTTCTTTGAATGGCCAAGGGGAGATCCTGGCATTCATCTCTTCTCTCCCTTTGTCCATTCAGAGGAAGCCTTGTATTCTTTGAACAGAATACAAGACATTTTCTGAATGGGTGAAGGGGGAGTCTAAACGATGCTATCCTTCACTGTACTAAGCTGCACCCAGCAAATTACAAAAAGAGTTTCTTCCTGGAGTTCTACTTTACCTCATATCAGTTATAGCTGTTTTGGTATTTAATCATGAGTAGTATTTAATCCAATCCAGACTGCGAAACTGCTTTTTAGCTGATTCTGCCTCTCATTTTACCAGTGGGTGTTACTGATTTGTTAACGTTTTCACCCTCTTTGTCTCTGGAGCAATGGTCCAGCCTGAGATATCTGTGCACTAAGATCATCTGCTAGAGACAGTTATATGCCCACACACTACGTGTTCCTTCCCACCTTTTAGCTTCCAGGAAGACTGCTCCGACTGCTTGTCTGCTGGCAATTCATTGCTATCCTTCTGGACCCCAGTCCTGCTGTTGACTTTTACCTTCGGTGATGTATTCTCCACTAGCCATCAGTAATCATCACCTCCATCTACTATCTAGGTTGTGAGTATGACAGGCCTTTCCTCTGGTTGGTTGGCTGCTATCAGCTGATCGGGGCAATATGTCTAATTCTAGACAGTCCAAGGATAATCCTGTTTTTATTCCCTTGCAAAGTCCAGGACTTTTTTTGCGGTACCTCCACAGGAGCGTGATTGTGCTATTGACTGTGCTATTGACGAGTCTCATGTGCACATTATTCTTCCCAATTGGGTTGATGATGTGCACTCTGCCTTGGGCATAAGGGATCAATCCTAAGGATCCAGGCACATGGTATTTCACTGTTTCTACAAGCACTTATACCTTGTGCTGTACTCCATTATTGATATCATTTCCAGAATGGGAGATAAGGGAAAACTATATATGGGGACATCCTATTCCTGGGGCAACTATCTTAGAAGGGAATTTCCTTTCTGTTGTGTCTCTTGGAAAGGAAGTGAAGGAAAATTTGGTGCACAGACAACAAACTACCTAGAAGGGGTTCTAAAACTTTCCTAGTTTTGGCTACACACAGACTTTATTTAATCTCACATCTCTAAATAAGGGTAAGACATGTTTTCCCTACGATAACCCAGCACACCACATCCCTATATACACATGTAGAAATTAAGAAACTTTGGGCAATGTGACCTTTATGGTGATACATAGGATATAAACAAGATTCTTACATCCATTAAAATGTTTTATTTTATTAACCAAAAGCACCTCAAAACTGTATACCATCTATAGACTCCCATGGAATATACAGATAAATTACACTGATGATCACTAGTAGAAGGATGGTATTGTGACGTGTTTCCCAAACATTGGCTTGCCTCCTCAGACAGTATGTAGCATTTCCTTTGGTTAGACAACAGGTCACATTACGATATATATGGTGTATAATGTCAGACGGCAGGTGTAGTTACATCCACTCCACCAACGGGATTCCAAGTATGATGATGAAGCCAAGCATAAGAAATTTGTTAGTAGTTCTGATAATCCAATATGCAAAGATTACCCAAAACTTCAATTAATATCCAAGGAGGATGAGCGGAGGAATTTGGGCATTCCCTATTGCATCCAAACCAGGGGAGAAAAAGTGAGCCCACCAACACTAGTAGTTACTTAAACCCTGGAGGTGCTCCAATTCAGATAATTCCTGAGCTGAATTTAACTGAATGCCTGGATCTACGTTCCTCCCCCCAACAGGACCCGGCCAGATGTTCCATCTAGCCTAGTGTGTTTTTTGAGGGCATCTGGTTTGCTTAATTGTTTTAGTCATACCAAGTGAAAGCTTTAGAATTCTTTTTTAAGTTGATCCTGCTCATACTAAAAGGCAATTGAGGATATGAAAGCAGAAGCCAGGTTTATTTTCCAGATGGCCTTCAAAAAGGGAAGTTCACCTGTGTATACATTTAAATGTAATGTGTCAGTATATGCAGTCATGAATCCTTTTTTTTTCTGAAAAAGGTCAGTATATTTTTGGCAGAAATTGTGGAAAGAAGCCTACATCTATTTTTAGTAGCCCTTAAAGAGACCTAGTGGCCAACTGAAAAAATTGCAAGTGAAAGCCCAGAAATAGCAAGCATTTTAAATGCTTACTTGCTGTGTTTTTCCTTTCCGTAAAATATTTTTGCTCGCTTGCAATGTGTTTTTGAACTTTCTAGTAATTAGTGACAAGCCAATTCCCTAACACAGCCCTCTCCCTCTTTGCATGTCAGGCTTCGCATCCAGGCGCTACCTAGGGCGGTTTGCATGCAAATGCAGCTGGCCTAAAAATGCCCACCCATTCAGGGCTAGTTCACACCAAGCGCGGAGCAGATACAGAGCAGTTACAGAACGGATCAAAACTGCGTTCAATGTATTCCAATGGTATTTTTGGCTCTAGTTGACACCAAAGCATTCAGTTCCAGAACATGTGCAAAAACTGCATTATGCCCTATTTTTTCTGCACTGGAACGCACCAAAATGCATCAAAAACACATGCAAATGCCCTGGAACACGCTGACAGCTCATTTTAGGCAAACAAAAAAACGGACCGGGATGCGGTAAAAACGTGGCAAAACACACTCATGCAGATCTGGTCTGCATTTGGTGTGAACAAGCCCTCAGACTGGCATCCACCCATCAAGGCATTGTGCTGTTTGCATACTCCTCCCAAGATACTCCTCCGCCCTATGTTTACATCAAGGCTGAAGGCTATTTAGAGGAATACTGAGGCTGGGTGTTTTTAGGAAGCTATGTACAGCACCATGCCGGCCCCCATCACCAGACAAGATTTGCCTTCATTGTGTTAAGAAACACAGAGACCCAGTGATGTCACTAAGTCTAAAATAAGGTTATGGTACTGGAGGAAGTAATCAACAGACTGCACGTGTGTTGACATCATGTGCTGATCTATGAGTCCCTCCTTTATGGTGGTTTCTGCATTCACAGATCCACCTGCATAGCTGCGCCAAATTCAACATTAAACAAGCCTGCTGGAAAAAGAACCCCACAATTCAGAATTTAAAGTTAGCCAGTACAGCTAGAGAAACACTGAATATAGAAGCTGCCATTTCTGCTTGCTTTTAAAGATTCAGACTTTAGGCCTGTCATTCCGGTTCTGGCTCCAATACCTATTGAGTCACTAACTCCAAGAAACAGGCCGCCAGTTAAGCTTGAAAAGTCTGAACACCCGTCCTGCATACTTCTGGGTTAGTGACCCACTTGGTATTTAGATCCATATTTAACCTCCTATGTGGTAATAAAAAGTAGCAGAGAGGTTGAGCAGCAAAGTTTAAAGGTGTGGTATTAATATATAAACAATAAATATAATGAAATTGGCTATAAGCCATTACTTTAGAATTCCCCTTAACTATGTGTTGGGTTTATTGTGGTGGAGTAATACAATTGTGCTCTGGGCTGTGCACTGTTTTGGCACACAGGCTCTTTGGGAAGGTTTTTAGTCTGTGCTCCATGTCATAACATAACCAGTCACTTTTCTATCTCTTTACATTATTACAGGATCAGTTTGACAACCTAGAAAAACACACACAGTGGGGGATCGAAGTACTGGAAAAATACATCAAGTTTGTGAAAGAGAGAACGGAGATTGAAATCAACTATGCAAAACAGCTCCGGTAAGCTTTGATTGTGTCGGTTTAAAGAGGTCTATAATGCACACAATCCCAAGATCATAATATTGAAGTGTACCTGTCACACAAACTCTGCCCAACTAATACTTATCTCTAGTAATAGGCACTGCAAGATGCATGCACATACCTTTTGGGGCTTATTTACACCAAGCCTGTTGAGCCTGAGTTTTTCTATGTACCCCGTTCACACCATACATGTGTGGAACCTGAAGCAGCTTTTGGTGCCCCCACTGTACCTGATTGATGCACTGATCTGATTGGACAAAGCTCTGGCACATGTTGCGACTCCCTACCTCCAATTGCCATACATTTATGTTGGCCGTCACTATGATGGATGGTCCTGCTGGCCAATAGAAATATGTGGGAAGCGGGAGGGGGCGGGCAAGCTTTGAAACTACTAAAAATCAGAACAGCCTGACATTCTGTACAGTGGAGACACAGTGACAGCTGAAGCTAGTAGGTTTGTGTACAAACAAAGCCATGTGATCGCCATGATTGGTTGTCCCAGTGATCACATAATTGGGTACCACACTGACTGGTTCTTGATTTATGTTGTTGACCAGTGGCAATACAGTCTTAGAACTAGGAGTGTGTCCAGCTTCCAACGTCTGCCGCTAAAATAGAATTGAATTAAAGGTTCTTTTGAATCGGGAACCATGTCTAAGACATTCATCTAAAACCAGGGCATCTAGGTGCTAGAGAAACATGGAGGTGGCCACTGTTGCCTTCTCGTACTGAGAATTTTAGTTGTCTGTCACGTTGAAACAGTCTCTGACCTGGGACATAGTATGTAGATCAAGAGTTTTGAATTTTCTTAGACTTTCTAATCTTCATGTTTCTTTTGGTGAGGTTTCTGCAAGCATATACAAAAGAACATTTGGGGAAGGAGAGAGGAAAAACTCACAATGTTCTTAATTATTATTTATAAGAAAGTTTCCCTCTGTAACACTTTTATTATGCATGTTCTTTGCTTCTTCCTACCAAAGAATCATGAACTAACCTAGCACACGCATCTAAAGGAACTCTGGAAATACAGTTCTAGAGCACCCCTTGCCTGTAAACAACTATTTCAGAATGCCAGCAGAAATTTGAACTTGCAAGACCTGAAAGAAATCAAGTAATCTTTTACATTTGCAAATTTGCTTTTCCTTGCTTTAAAATATAATAGGAGCTACCAATTATTTAAAGGACTCCTGTGATGAGAGACTTGTATGCTGCCACTGCTTAACATTCCTTCTGAAAATGCTAGTTATCCTGGATATGACCCTCTGGCTTCATTACTTTGTGTCGCTGAAAGCCAAGCGACCAGCAATCTCAGAAAGAAGGTGGCCCTCATATTTCTCCTATGACAGGTTTATTTTACTACAATTAGCAGCTTTGTTATACCTGTGTGTGCACAAATAAAGAAGTCTGCCTTAGGAAAAAAATGGGTGGACTATTATTACTGATAATAATAACTAAAGTTTCCATTTATTTGTGTATTTTGTTTTCCTGTTTTCTCTTGGTAACATGTAAGTATCTGCTATACTGTAAATATAGTACATGCCGCCTATTTGTGGTCAGAGTTTGTTTGGTTTGTCTAGCAGGTATCTATAGGGACTGCAGACAACAGAGAAGAGATCTGTGTGTTTTTTGTATCATCTAATGTTGGTGCATCTTTGTAACCATGAACACGGTATGATGTCTCACCCCCCCGAGGCTCTGGCTGTGCTGTTTGGTATCTAAATCTAGCACATCCACCTGTGAGATTTCAAGTGCTAATGTATTTATTTAAAGGAGAACGATGAGGTGAGTGCTTTTCACTCACCTCATAGTTCTAGCTGACCTGTGACAATGAGACTGCCACTGGTCGGCTCAGTAGATCGGGAAGTGAGCGAACACATACCGGCGTTCACTCACTTCTTGATCCTGTCATGGCTCTCTGCCGTGACAGGGGAGGGGCTGGATTCCCCCCCTCCCCGCTCCGATCCTCCAGCGCTGACTGGCGGAACGGACGAGGGAGGGGGCGGGTACAGCTGGCTCTGCCTCTAGATAGGCAGAGCCAGCTGTCACTCACGGAGCTGGGCGGATCCAGACATAATTGTCGGAGCTGCAGCTCTGGGCTCTGAGCTTTGGGTGACGGGATGACGCTAGTTTGTGTCCTCCCGTTACCCTAAGGAGAACTATGGGGAAAAGCCCTAACCCCATAGTTCTCCTTTAATAAAGTGCAAGAGCAGAGATGTGCAGAGCCGGATTTACTCTCTCTGCTGCCCCAATGCCAGGTTCCTCAATGCGCCCCCCTCTAAGCAGGCTACATTCAAGTGATCTCGGCGACATCACTTGTATAAACAAGCTGCGGCTTCCCTGCTGTACATTTAGCCTTGTGTGCCCAAAGCAGGGCTAAATGTAGAAAACAACTACCCGCCCGACGCCCAGAGCTACATGTCCCGGGCATCGGGAGATCGGAAATTCCACACCCCTGCTGCCCCTCTACTTCCTGCTGCCCCAAGGCCGGGCCTCGGTTGGCCTTGTGGGAAATCCAGCCCTGGAGATGTGACTATTGCTTTAATAGCTAATATAGCGCTCTAAAAAACATTTATTTAAAAATACATTTAATGATTTTTTTGTAGATCTGACCTGGCCTAAGCTATTCTAAAGTAGCAATAGTGCTGGAGTGTAGCATTTTGTGGTAATGGCAAGTACCAGGGTTATTTGCCAAATTGACCCATGTGTCCCTATTGAGCACCCTTGCATACATGGAGAGCAAAGCAACAGGGTCACTTAAAGCCAAAAGCAAAAATTCAATATATTGCAGTTGACCTGTGCTGGCTGCATGTCTTCACGTCAGGCATTATTCCTTTATTTGCATCTTGTGGTCCTGCAAGTAACACAATTCCTGTCCCGCGGCGACAACACTCACTCACTGTATTGAATCTATGGAGGAGCAGTGTTCTCACCCCTGGCCAGGGAGTGCGTTAGGTCTACAGAACACTGTCCTATCTCCTTATGTACATAACGGGAAGGGAGGGGGGCTGTGAGAAGGGGAGGGATACTCGATAGTCCACACAGAGAGCTGAAAATAATGCTAAGTGATACCAAAGGAAGTAAGAAGCTCACACGATTTCTGGCAGGATGAACAGATATTGTGTACTAATTGAACAGTTATGAATAAAACATTTTAATTGTGTATTTAACAGACTGAGATGTTTGTTTTTAGGTTTAGGGTAGGGGTGTTGACTCACAGGCTCTAATATATTAACCTCCTAGAGCAGAACTGTGCATTTTATGGCCTGCGAGACGTATACGGCTGTCCAGCCCGCTGACCTGTGCTCCATTATGGCTGGCTGATAGTGGATACAGTGGCCTCCCAGGCTAGTGCATCCACTGCAAGCCATAGCCCACGCAGGTCGGTAATCAGTCCGTGTTCGGACTGCGATTTCTTCGGTTCTTGGTTGCTAGGACAGCGGATGTCCTAGCAACCAATGACGTCAGAGGTCCCCTTTTCTGCAGCTCCCACCTGTGGACATTAAGACCTCATTCACACTGCAATCGGCCGGCACGTACAGCTCCATGCTGCGTGCAGGGCCGTATCGGGCAGCTCCCGGGAAGGACAGGTGCTTCGTGTGATTTAGAACGCAGCCCCTTTCCTTCTCTATGGGACTGCGCAGCCATACGCCCCCCCTACGCTCACTTCAAGTGCAGGTCCGTAGGGTTGCGTGTTTCCTGGCTCAGACGCAGATAGGATCCATCCTGTCAGTGTACGAGTACGCTCACCCGCATGGACGTGCAGGGCGGGTGAGCGTAGGGGGGGCGTACGGCCGCGTAGTCCCATAGAGAAGGAAAGGGGCTGCGTTCTAAATCACACGAAGCACCTGTCCTTCCCGGGAGCTGCTCGGTACGGCCCTGCACGGAGCTGTACGTGCCGGCCGATTCCAGTGTGAATGAGGGCTAAAATAACAAAACAAAAACGATATGTGTGGGATAAGGGGGTTGGGGTTTGGCTCGTCCAGCAGTGACTAACACACGGTACCTTGCAATGCACCTACCATACAATACAGTGCGGCAGGTGTGTTGTATGCACTACTTTTTTCAACCGCACCGCAAATCACGGTATTACGGTACAGCATGTTACAGTCAATCAATCGCATTATGGTCAGGAGCCATTCATTTGGGATGCCATTCAAATGAATGGCAATGCACCTGCCGCACTGTAATGCTGCACAGTCCTGTGCGTTAATCAGTTCAGCTGTCCCAGTTTCCTATGTGGCCCCCAGAGAAAATAAATTGCCCACCCCTGTCCTAGAGAGTTCATTGTTTTTAATAAGTTGGTCGACTCGTAGACTTTTCATGGGAGAAGAAGCAGTAAAGCACAACCACTGTGAAGTACAGCAAAGCAGGAAGCAGTGCCTGAGTATGTAATGAGAAAATATGACTGTCATCCTAAAGATAAACAATTACCAAGAGCACACGGAAGCAAGGTTTATTTTAAAATATTAATACACATTGATGATATTATTTTACAAAGTACAAATTTATTGTAGTTAAAAAAAAAAAAAGACTGAACAGTGAAGATGACGCCGCGTCATCATGTTTAGTGCATGTGTCTGTTGATTGGTCGTTGTGTTTTAGTTCATGTTTATGTGAATCTCCTAGTGTCATTGTAACAACAGTCGTGCCCCTGGCCCCACATTGTTGCCCCTGGCACTTCTTCAGAAAAAGCAGGTGAAAGATCAGGTTGTAGATATTATGAGCTCCCATGTCAATCAAAGCTGAATTTCACAGTGACGCGCCCTTGGACAAGGTGTGGAAACATAGATTCTTCCCCAAGTTTATCTGCTTTCTAGCTGGTTTTTCTATGTATCTGCTTCAATAATAACTTGCCGCGTGCTTATTATGGAGGTTTTGTAAAGTTTCGGCTTCTGCAGGGATCGCCTTTGCTGCTCTCTTGCAGAGTTTCAGTTCAGGAACACACAATGGGTTTGCTGTGTGGAGTATAGTTGATATAA